TTTAATTCACAGAGAACCAGGTTTAATTCACAGAGAACCAGGTTTAACTCACAGAGAACCAGGTTTAATCCACAGAGAACCAGGTTTAATCCCCAGAGAACCAGGTTTAATCCACACACATCTCTTGGCCCCCTTGGTGAGGTCCAAGCACCTCATCAGGCAGATTTTGGGTCAAATGAGGCGAGTTTTGGTGCCTTTAGTGGGATTTGGGGGATTAATCCAACCCGGTCGTTGTCCCTGATTTTGGGGGCACAGAGACGCCGCTCTTGTCTCCAAGATGAGAAATACCCGGCTTTAAAATTCCAATTTTCCTTAAAATTCCAATTTTCCACTAAAAACCCATCCGGGGGATGGATTCAGGAGGCTCCCAGACCCCAAACCAGCCCTTTTTTATCCCAAACCCACCCTGTTTCTCTCCAACATCCCATCCAAAAGTTGCTTTTTGGTCTTTTAAATTTAAATTTGAGTCACTTTTAGCATTTCTTAGATTAATTCCCCCAAAGAGGTTGGTTCTTTTCCCGGGACACACCTGGGAATTCCACAGGATCGGGATTTTACCGACCTGTTAAATTTATAATTTCTAATTTTAGCTCTGTTGGTTTTTTTCCCTGAACGCCCCAAACTTGGAAAATCAGGATAAATTTTAACTCCAAACCGCTTCCATTTCCATTTTTTTCCCCCCAAAACCTTGATCTGCCACAAATATTTTCCCTAAATCCCTTTTTTTTTGATCTCCCCTCTGGGGTTTCGCCGCCGTGGAACCACCAACTTTTTCCCCCCCCCAAAAAAATCCAGGAGAAAAACTGCATCAATTTTAGTTTTTAGTTTTAAGTAATAAAACAAATTAAAGTGGCTTTTTGCTACAAAACCACGTTTTTTCCTGGAATGGCGGGATTTTGACCCGGAATGTGGGAATTCGGGGGGGGTGGAACCGTCTCTTGGGGATTCGTCGTTTTGGGGGAACGTGGGTGGGACTAAAATGAGGATTTAGGGATAAATCCAACCTATCTCCGTGGCCGTCGGTGGGGGCGGAGCCTCAGGGCCCGATTGAACCTTTCTGCTGGAAAATCGGCCGGAAGTGACGTCATGGGAATGACTGTGAGCCAACAATCGGCGTCAGGGGATAAAGGTCCATCCTTGGGTTGGGTTGGTGTCTCCATAATCACCAAGTGACCCCTTGGAACCTCAAACCACCGACTGTGACCCA